ATATTTTTTATTTGAATAAATATGTGAATTTTTTTTCTTTTATAGAAGTGCGGAGTCATCCGTATTACTCTGAAAAAATAATAGTGAATTATTAGGATTTTATTATTATAATAATAATGAATTATTATATTATAATTTAAGTCCACATAATTTGAATTATTATATTATGATCTAAATTCACATAACAATCTTTACACATTCACCTTTTTACGTGAAATGTATAGAGATGATAAACAAAAGATTAGGCAAGAAAAAATGTATGTTAAATGCAGAGGAAAACTACCTTAAAACTTTTACTAAACTCACATCATGTACAGATAGTGTTCACGGTAGGATCTGATAAGACATTTTAGGATCACACTTCTTTTCAAGTAATTTAGTTGTCGTTTGACAATGGTGACCATAATAATAGTGAATTATTATGGGTGGACTATTGTTGACTTATTAGACTAAAGGATAATGTTAAATTCGTGTACATGTGTGATTAGTGTTAGTGTTACTCAAACATGTGCCACGCTCCTGCAGAGGATCTCCATTCAGTGATCTTGTTGTGGTTTATTACTATCGAGGTATAGATATTATTGGATTATCCCTCTAGCCTAAGACAACTAAATTTATCAATTATAGGTGTGGACTATTTAATCTAGTGGGTGTTGAAGCAGAATCAAAGATCACGACATATACAATGAGATGTTTTTATTGGAAACAAATAATATGCATATTTACATTTTCAAAGTGCATCGTATCAGATAACAAAATTCAATTCTCTAAGTTCAGAGTGTGAGAGTTCTGCCAACTCTTAGGGATTCAGACGAAATTTGTCTCACTTGAACACCGAATGGAAAAGCTGAGTACGACAACAAAGTTGTCCTCTACGAGATCAAGAAGAAATTAGAATAAGCAAAGGGATTGTGGCCAGAACAACTATACAAATTACACGAGTTGTTGATATTTTTATAAACTCAAATCATCCTATTCACCACTCATTATTTGTTTTTCAATCTTTTATTTAAATACATCGTCACTGATAATTATAGGTGTTATAGGCGTACCATACAATGCCTCATTCCTCGACAACGAAAATGTCATTTAAGATGGTATATGATTCAGAAACCATACTTCCCGTGTAAATAGACACACCCACCTAGCGACATAAACATATTAGAAAATAAGTATAACGTTCATGAAGTTGCATTACTACAAATAAGTATAACGTTCATGAAGTTGCATTACTACAAATAATATTTTTTATGACGAAAATTTCACCTCAAACATGTCAAACACTGAGCTTATAGGTCTTGGGAGCGACAAGTTTAATATTTAAAAAAATTTTTTTTTTCCAAAATAGCAATAAGTGAGTGTCAACTATTCTGAAAAAAAAATTATTAAACATAATACCTCAATGCTTTTTAAAAATCGAGGTGAAATTTTTATCAGGGAATATGCTTCGAATCCCTGCATTTTAGGTTTTTTTCAGTGATTTCTCACTTGGCGTCTTTCAATCTTCCTTTATTTTTCTTAGTTAATTTTATTTGTTATTTTTTTCTTTATAATTAGTAATTCTCAAAAAAAAATTGTTATTAATAAAAACGAATAGGAAATAATATGAAAGAAAATATTTCATTAATTAAAAACGGGGCAACAAATAACTATTCCACATATTCAAATTTTTGACTCCACTCAACTTCAATAGTATCACTATTAACTATCCATAACTTAGATAAAAGTTCAGAAAAAACTCTTTCATATGGTATGAGAAAAGTCATTTTATTCCTAGAGATGATTATCATTTTCTTTAAATAATTAAGAATGGTAAGAGGAAGATTAACTATGATGTTTTTGGTAAGGAATAACAAGAGATGTTTGTCATTTCAAGTAGGTGTTTACAGTTCTTTTTCTCTTTGAAGGAGATTTAACACTAAAAGTTGATACAAAACTTTTCCAATTGATCGTAGACTAACAGGACTGCTGAGATTACCGTTTGTTGCATAAATTAGGTGAAGGTGATTTTTATAGACATTGTTGAATCTATAATGTTCAACACAAACACCTTAGAAGTATAAGATACGTAACATTTTGAATCTTTAATTTTTTGTAAACTAAAGGATATATATTGTCGATTTCCCTAATAAACGAGGTATAAGATAGGTAAGATTTTGCTATAAAATCACTCATTAAATATATTTTACCCTAATCCTAACTTATATGTAGCCGCTCCAAACTCGTTAGAAATTGAAATCAAATCATTCTATTAGGATTCATCTCACAAAATGGGGTTGTTGTTGTATTTATAAGCGTGTAAAAGTTCTCTATGATGGATTGCAAGTGCAGAAAAATATTTTTTTAATAAAAGTTGGATGAATGTTGGGACCAAATAACTCTTTTAGAAATTGGACGTGTGCAATATTTGGACCAGATAACTTCTTACATCAAAATTCTGGTTTTGCTGTATTATTATTTTTCAATATCCTGTGTAAACAATGTAATTAAAAAAAATATGTTCACCTCGATTTTTATAGAAATTGAGGGGATAACTTAGCGTTCTTAAACAAATCTTTGTCATTCATTTCAAGATTATCAGCGCTCAATAAACTATCATTAGTTATCTACGTGATTCTTAAAAAATTTACATTATAAAGGCTTTCTGATATCTAAAATTGATTAAAAAAAATATCATGAAGCGATTAACACTATCTACAACCTCTACTTTAACTTTTGTCATTAGCGATGGATTGCAAGTGCAGAAAATTATCTGAGTTTAAGGTTTGTGTTCTTAAATAATCATATAATTTAATATTTATTTTATTTACTTAACTTTTTTTTTGTTATCAGAAACAAATGAATGCAAAAGGAATAGAGAATATATTACATTCAACATTTGTTCTTCCTCAAGATCAACGAAACGAGGATCCCCAACATTTTCTCTTCTGCAAGATATCCAGCATTTGTTCTTCACTAACAGTAATGACAATGAATAACAACATTTTTACTTTAATATTATGTGTAAACAATGTAATATTTTGTGTAAACAATGTAGTTTGTAAACAAATTAATTCATTAATATTTTGTGTAAACAATGTAATGAATTTACTTTTTAAAAATAAACTATCTAACCCCTCGATTTTAAAATAAATCGAGAGGTTCGAATCCATGATCATATAACTTTCTCCCTCGACTTTTCATTAACCGAAGTGTTAAGTGACAACTTTTCATGTCATTGTTTGTTATGCTGACTTGGTAGCCGAGATTACATCTCTTTCGCGTGCGACGTTATAAGCATTATTTGTATTAGTGTTACTTTACCATATTCCCTACTTAGTATGTTTTCTTCTCCCTTGATATGCTACTTATATTTATAAATAATGTAACTTATTGTATTCGCTGAATTCTTCTAAATTAATTAAAGAAAATGAGACAAACCTCAAATGTGTCGCATATCTACTCGATTAGGCAAGCAAAATGACCTGCGTTCAAGAGTTCACAAAAAAAAAAAAAGAGTTGTAAGAAAATTTAGCTCTTGAGTTCAAACGAATGGACATGATTGAAACAAACTTAATCACATTACATCATCATCTTGGAAAAACTTGTCTCTTTTAACAACGTGGCCTCACAAACCTTGTGTTTGACGGACTGTGGACTATTAGAAGGACGGTCCCATGAGTATAAAAATATGTTAATGTCTGCGTCTGCAAAAGTCTAAAAAAAACGAGGCGGAACTGACACATTAGAAGATGAATGTCTAAACTCTTGCTTCGTCCTGCACTAAAATACAAATAAAACAGACATTCTCAACGGACCAAATCGTTTTATCACCCCTAATTTTTATTGTAGTCATAAATATAAATAAATATTATAGATCCAAAACATTAAATTACTCACTAAATTCGGATCATCAATATTTAAGATAAGGATGATATGATCATGTTGAAATCATAAATAAAATTATTTGAATCATGCATACAATTAAATATAGATTAAAATAATTAAAAACTTTTTAGTATTTCGATTCACACACATGTATAATTTAAATTACACATATTTGTTTCATTACTTCAAGTCAGTTGGTAACTTCATGAACAGCCAATTGAACAAATATGAGTTAATTAGAACCACATCATCTAAGTTTCATTATTTTATAACTTTAGATATAAGACATATTAAATTATTTTTATCTAAGTTTGTAATTTATTTATTTATTTATTATTTTATTTATTATTTTATTTAAGGCTGTGGTAACTTATTTATTTATTTCTTTTTATCTAAGATCGCAGCAAAATTATAGACGGATTTTGATACTTTTAAAAAAAAAAATTAATTATATGATGATAGTGTTGAGAAGAGTGAATAAATGATAGCTTTATATTCTAAATTGTCAAATAGTTTGAGGTAGAGAAATATTAGTAACTATAATGAAATACTATTTGGACATAAGATTACCAATGAAATTAAATATTCTTAGGAAGGAATTGCTCAAATCACCATAAATTTTTTGGTCGCAAATGACAATCAACAATAATACTTACTACTCCCACCCCCATAATAAAGCTTTAAAAAAATGTGTAGTTAGAAGACACTCAAAAACTGCTAAATCTAAACCAGCATTACTTGTACGTACATTGAAATGCAATATTGCAGAAAGTATAAAAATATATCAGTTAATTACCAAAAAAATTGGTTTCAAAGAACACCTTTTATTGTGCGAAACTGACAGACCAATGAAACTGTGCCAAACATCAATTGGTTTCAAAGACATGAAAGATCAATATGAACAAACCAACATTACTAAGAGTGTGTTTGCTTCCGTGTTAAAGGTTGTCCGCTGCTAATCAAACTCAACGCACATCAATGAAACTGTCGCCGCTGTTTTAAACACACTCTAAAACTTGATGTTTCATCAATCCTATAGCATTCCTCCAATAACTTGATATACTTGTTCCATCATTGTCTCTTCTACAGCTTTATAAATTTGAAATTCGATCAGTACCAGCAATCTGCTTCTTCTACATGCTCTTCAGGTAAATTTCACTTCCTTCCGGTACATTACACTTCTTTGGTGGTCCTGAGGCCCTTGGTTCCGGTAAATTACATTTCTTTGGTGGCCCTGAGGCCCTTGGTGGGGGTCCACAAAAATCATAAGGATCAAGTTTTACAAGTTCTACAGATATCGGCCGGCCGTGAAAATTCTGTAGATAATGGATAGTAAAACATTAATAAGAATCATTCAGTTATCAAAGCTGATAATCAAAAGACAAAATATGAACCTTTTGATCCATGTTTTCTAGTGCAAGCATGGCATCGTCTTGACTTGTGAATTGAATAAAAGCAAATCCCTTTGATCTTTCCGTGATCGCATCTTTTACCATATTAACTGCAACATACGTGAAATAAATGGCACAGGTATGAATCAAAGTACTAAAATAAGTTATGTACATTATTTAAGTCCTACATTGTAACAAAATAGGAAGAAAAAAGTCGTGCACATACCTTCGGCTATCTTGCCAAAATTAGAAAATTCCTTTTGCAAAGTATTCTCATGAGTAAAATAAGGTAAATCTGTCTCAAAATAAGAGCAAGAAGAACTTTATAAAAACACGGTAAGTACATAAGACGAACAAGACAACATAAAACTAGTATAAGCGCATAACATAAAAGATAAGTGAACGTCAATTGATGTCAAAATTCAAAATGTAGTCGGCACAAAACAATCGCCCCAGAGAGGATGAATGCAATTTTGCAATTACCTTTGGATTTTATTTTTCTCAATTATACACATTGCAAGATGAATTTCTTTTCATTACTATACCAGAAACCATTACAATTATCATACACTCATGCAGGACAAAGGATCAAGAATCCATCTAAACAGAAAACAAACGTACATAAGACGAACAAGACGACATAAAACTGGCATAAAAGGCCTCTTAAATCGCTTTGCATATTTTAAGAATTCTGTTCCCCTCTATATAGAGGGGTCTAGTTCAGCAGCGGTATCAACATAATAGTGAATGTTGCGGTTGCTATAGTACCAGACCTAAGATGAGGACTAAAAAAAATTCAAGAAAAAGCCCTTAAAATTTTAAGTTAGAGCTTTTTGCTTGGGTTGTTTTAAGAATTTTGCAATTACAAAACAGCAGAACAATGTTTGGGATTCTCACTTCATAATGATAAAGTATCTGACAGTGACAGGAACAGATTAATCTAAAACAGTAAGCAAATTAGAAAGAAACAGGTAAGTCAGTAAATAGAACTTCCCTAGCAGGCCTAATTAACAAAATAAGCAATGATATAAAGTTCTCAGAAAGAATAGAACTGAGAGATAAAGAGAGTGAAGAAGAGAAAGGGGCGTTACTTTTAACAATGATTTTGCTTGCAAGGGGATATGGCTGTCGCATAGATAATATCCGAAGCTTTGGGAGAGAACGGTTGGGTGTTGTGTGACAAGGGAAAGAAGCCAACCCTAGCATGCTCGTCTCCATCTAAACACTTCAGAATCGAACCAAACTCGCCGTCTTCGTTTCGGATATAACCACCCTAACCTTTTTCAGATTTGAATCTATAACTTAGTTGATAGATTTTTTAGCTAGAATGAAATATAGAGTTTACTCAATTGTATGAATATTTTATTTAAGATATTTTATTTTATTGTATATATTTTAAAATTTTAAATCAAATGGTACAAGAGAGGAAGGATTTGATGAAATGGATTTTAAATTTATTATTTATCATTTCATTTCATTGTATCATATACCATTAATCTAAAAAGACATTTGGCTATGTTTTGATATCATGAAATAAAAAAAAGTAATAAAAAAAAGTAATAGAATGTAGTGGAATAAAGTGGAGCGGAATACAAATTTTATTTTATTATTTAGGTATTTTAAGGCGGATTGTAAGTTTGAAATTGAATGAAACTCATACCAATTAGTTTTACCATCCAATTTTAATTGATCCAAATAATAGAATTTTGTTCCATATCATTCAATTTCGCTCATTCACATTCCATTCATCAAAACATACCATAAATCACGAATTTATTTTCTAACTAGTATTTTTTTTATAGTCTTTAAATTATATAAATATGATAAATAATTTATAAATGTTTTTGCAAAGGTACATTAATGATAACTCTATCAACAAGTATTAATAAAGTTGTAGTCAAATGCTCTTGTGAATTGTCAATTATTTGAATTGTGTGTCCCTTTCCTCCTGTGGTCATCCAATTTTATATTAATTATGACTTTTCTTGTACTTAATGCCCATCAAAGATTATTTAATGTGATTATCCCTACTATGTGTGATCTATTAATGGTAATTGACAATCAGACTTGGTTGTCAAATCACATATCATAATAATGCTCTCAAAGGTTTCTGTGTGCACACATGTTGAAGCATCTGGCATGGCATCTGACCCTCAACTACTATGTGTGTTGATATATGTGTTTGTAGTAGCTTTTGGCCTTTGACTACTGACTACTAACTGTGTGTACATGCATGACTAACTCATCTTGAATGATTGCGTGTTTTTGGAGCATTGTATGTAGCAAACCCATGATATTGTGTGTAACTACCTCCTAATTTATGGATTATGCTCTATTATGTGATGCACCTGCTGCTGCAAATGAATGTTTTGTTCTTCTACTACCGTTGATATTTGGTGTAAGTATATCTTTGATACTTAGCTATATTTCTGTTTGAAGAGTTGTTTTGCCAAAATTTGTCAAAGGGGGAGATTGTTGGTCCTTTTGGGATTGAATGTTTTATGCAAAATAACATGGAGTTTGTTCAAACTATTATTATGCAGAAGAGACACATATGGAACACGATGTGCTAACATGTATGCTGTAACATTTGGTATCTGACAACAAACATATGTTATTGCAGTTTTGGTTCAAAATTAGTTTATCCAAGACTCGGTTTACAAAGAAGATCTACAATTCATAAACAATAGTTAATTTGGATGTACCGGTACAACATGTGGAATACGATGTGGTATAATTCATTATTTACTACTCCATTTCATTTCACTCTATTATATACCATTAATCCAAACACTCCTCCTTAAACTATGTTTTGATATCATGAAATGAACGAAATGGAATGAAAATGAGCGCAATGAAATAAAGCGAAATGGAGTGGAGCAAAATGAAGATTTTATTTCATTCTTTCGGTATTTTAGGGCGGATTCATTTCGCCTAAATTGAAGAGGAGAAATGTGATTGTAAGTGTTGAAATGGAATGGAACTCATATCACTCAATTCCTCAATCCAATTTTAATTGTTCCAAACAATGGAACCTCGTTCCATATCATTCCATTTCGCTCAATTTTGTCACATTCCATCAATCAAAACATACCCTAAATCATGAACTTATTTCCTTAATTTTTCTATTTAGTCTTTAAACTAGTATTTTTACAGAGTCTTTAAACTATATAAATATAAGAAATAGTTTCTAAATGTTTTCGTAAAGGTACATTAATGATAACTATATCAGCGAGTGTCAATAAAGTTGCAGTCGAACGCTCTTGTGAATTATCTATTATCTAAGTTGTGTGTCCCTTTCCCATTGTAGTCATCCAATTTTATACCAATTATGACCTTTCTTGCACCTAATGTTTATCAAAGGTTATTCAATGTGATTGTCCCTACTATATGTGACCTACTAATCGTAATTTACAATCAGACTTGATTGTCAAATCACATATCATAATAAAGCTCTCAATTAGGCTTAAATGTGTTATCAATCGTATCTCAATCAAATATCGCTTGCATAGTAGTCTTAGGCCAACATGATCAACCTAGAACATTAGTTGCCTCAACCCGACCCTATTATGTTGGATGAGTTATCAATCGAGGTGGGCTCTCTTTGGTCTAGGCTAAGATATGACCTACTCGAGGTGACCCGACCCAAGACACTAGACTTGTACACATCCATTTAAGCATGAGTCGCGCAGGGGGAAAATGCTTTCTTGAGACCTACCAAAAAATTTAACGCGTAAGCAACCTCCTTAAGCATAATGTTGCACCCCAAATTTTGACCTCTTAGATCTTCATCATCATTCTAGGAGCATTATCATTGTTTATCTAACCTTAACCTATTTCAAGTTTGTCTTTGTTAAGATACAGGTGAATTAGGGTTCCGTACAGTTCGAAATCGAGGTTTCAACGATTTAATCAGTAAATGCCTTGGATTGATTATCCATGAAGAATGTCTCTACACCATCAATAATACTCCATTGGGTCAAGCATGAGTCCAATTTGAGGTTGTCACACAAAGATCAGGAACCGTGCAGTTCAGGATCCCCGATTAAGGTTTTTGATCAGGAAAAGTCAATTGTGGTTTGACTTTTGATTTTAAAGGTGTTCCAATAATGGAATTATGGTCCATGAAGCTCATATGACTTATTCAAGTCCCCTCAAGAAGTTTCAAAGCCTCGGAAGACCCAGAACAACAACAGTCGACTCGGTAGTCATCGATCGATCGTTCGGTTGACCGAAAAGTCAACTCTTCAACCATAAAGAATTTGACCTCAAAATGTGAATCAAAAATGTTCCTAATGTCATATTACACCTATCCATGAAGTTTTATGACCATTGGATCAAGGATTGGGGAGTAATCGCAAAAATCGGGAATTAGGATTTTGAAAGGGGCAAGACCATAACTCCCTAACCACACATCCAATTAAGTTGGTTCAAAGCTCATTGGAAAGATTTTGATAAGTCCTACAAAAGTCCCAAACTGGTCCATGAGCAGAAAATGCATAGATTTTGAGTTATGACCAAATTCATTACAAGAGGAAAAATAACTTAGAAAAATTCTAAGTTATTGGCCTTTTTAGGCATGTTTTTAGGCAACTTTGAGTGGATTTTTGACCTAGTTCCATTGGGAATCTGAAGATCATGAAAACATGAAAGTTGTAGAAATTCATAAGGGTTTTCCAAAATGTACTAGAACTCCTCCATAGACCTTATGAGTTGAGAGTTATGGATCCAACAAGATGAGGTTTCAACACTTGAGTCCAACATTTTCACTTTTTCACAAACTCACCTTTTGATCACTTGAGCTATTCTCAGCCCTTGGATCATGTTTGTATTTGATATTTAGGGAGTAGGATGAAGGAAAATGCAGAAGAAGTGAAGGATTTGAAAGGTATGGCAAGTTGCAAGGAAGGTTGCAATATTTTATTCAAAGAAAATCAATGAGGAAAGAGAAACTTTCCATGAAATCTGCAGCAGCTGCTTCCCTACCCTCTATGCTCTCTTCAATCACTTCATGTCCCTCATTTTACTTGTTTTTTTTACTGCATTGAACCAAGGGAATGATGTACTCAGCTGCCATACAATCTTGAATGAGATCTCATTTTCAAAACTCCCACAAAAAGTGCCAAAGTACCAATCTGCCCCAAGCCTTGCCTTGCCTATAAACAGAGGTTTCCTCTATGTTGAAAGGTACACCAGAGCTCTCTAAAACCCAAGAGAAAACCATTGCTCTCATCCTATCTTGCATTTTCTTACAAGTGAAGAAAACCATCCCAAAAACCCTCAAAAATCTGCCTTGAGCAAAACAGCTTCCAAAACCATTTTCACCCACTCAAAATCACCACAAACAATCCACACAATCCACAAATGATGTGTGGGAGGTTTTCAAACTCTTAAACCAATCAAAACCCTCATTTTCCCAAAATTCAACTTTCAACCAAACAAAGTTTGACTTCACACTCAAAATTTGCCAAATCACATACCAGGTCTGTTTTGATCATTGTAAACCTCTAAACACCTTGGGTTTATGATGTACCAACTGTCCATAACCTAAAATACCATCATCATCACTTATTTCAAGTTCTGGTCCAAGATCCACTTGTTTACTTCAAGTGCAAGAAAGGCTGCATTTTCACCAAAGCATTGGATTGGATTTTATTTGGAGGTTTCAAGGTTTTCCCTTTTATATTTGCTTGCTTGGAGGTCTACAAGAGGTTAGTAGTCACTATCCTCATTTTTAACTATCATGAGAATGTTTGAGGTGCATTAGCTGGTTTGAGATTAAAGGCAATGTACAGTTCATGTTTGAATCTGCCATATGTTGTTTGTCAATGTGCATTGTTCTTATGATCTTCATACAATATGTTGTGTTGTTGTGTGTTGAATCTTGAAACTCTCTTAAGTGCTATTATATGTCATGTGTGAACATATGAGGGAATGTTGGCAACTGTTATGAAGAGTGAGCATTGTTTTGATTCTGTTTCTGTTTGTGAAAGGTAGTGATTTGCTTATGTTGCAGCAAACTTTGTTTGAATCTTGATCTGTTTGCCAGCATTTTAAGTAAGTCATTATATGCTTGATTCATGTGGTATTTGACTTGGTATTGGTTGAGACCATATCATGTTTTGCTTTGCTGCCATTTCTGTTTTGAGCATTTTTCAACTCATGTGCATTTTTTCAATCCATAGGTCATTTTTAGTTCTAGCATCTTTTTGGATCAT